GTGAAACCCCGTCTCTACCAAAAATACAAAAATTAGCTGGGCATGGTGGGAGGTGCCTGTAATCCCAGCTACCTGGGAGGCTGAGGCAGGAGAATTGCTTGAAGCCAGGAGTTGGAGGCTGCAGTGAGCCATGATCGTGCCACAGTATTCCAGCCTGGGTGACAGACTAAAATCCTTTTTAAAAAAAAAAAAAAAAAAAAAAAAAAAATGCTGGGTGTGATAACTCACACTTGTAATCACAGCACTTTTGGAGGCCAAAGAAGTGGGTAACACAGTGAAACTCCATCTCTACAAAAAATACAAGAAAATTAACTGGGTGTGGTGGCTAAGTCCCAGCTACTTAGGAGGTTGAGGTAGTAGGATCACCTAAGCCCGAGAAGTCCAGGCTATGATCACACCACTGCACTCTAACCTGGGCAACAGTCTCAAAAAAAAAAAAAGTCAGGTGCACATGTCTACCTGTTCCCATGGGTGGTGGGGGGGGGTGGGAACCACCTATATCTAATATTTTTCCATGGGAAAAAAAGCCAACTGTAGAATATGTGAAGTATGATACTACTTGTTTATTTAAGGGAATGAGTATGTGTGCAAGTGCAAGAACATGTACATACTTATCTACACATATGCTTATATGCATTGCCCACTGTGCTTACTAGGGGAAACAAGATCACTGGAGGTCAAAGGTGAAAAAGAAACTCATATTTTACCACCTGCCCGTGGTACCATTTGAAATGTTCCTACTATTTTCAAAGTAGTATATTAAGAATTGGTAATTTTTTTAAAAAAAAAGTAGTAAATAAGAATTGGTGAGATCTGAACTATGGAGTTAGGTTTAAAAGGCACATGTGCCCTATGGACAAAAGTCACTATAATTTCTGAATACGCCATACGCAAAAGAAATAGCTTCGTAAGTCATTTCTCTTACTCTTATGAACGCAGAAAATAAGAAAAAATGGACTTAGCCTTCAAGAGCAAGGTGATGAAGGCTGACAAATTAGTTTAAAAAAGTAAAGCATACAGAAGTAGGGACAGATAGGGGACAGTGGGGACAAATTTCATCTTTCTTTTTTTTTTTGGAGACAGAGTCTTGCTGTGCCACCCAGGCTGAAGTGCAGTGGCATGATCTCAGTTCACTGCAACCTCCATTTGCCAGGTTCATGCAATTCTCTTGCCTCAGGCTCCCAAGTAGCTGGGATTACAGGTGCCCACCACCACACCCAGCTGATTTCTGTATTTTTAGTAGAGATGGAGTTTTACCATGTTAGCCAGGCTGATCCTGAACTCCTGACTTTGTGATCCATCTGCCTTGGACTCCCAAAGTGGTAGGATTACAGGCGTGAGCCACTGCGCCCAGCCTACAATCTCATCTTTAAAGAAGTAAAATAATGCAATTATGTTTTGGAAGACACAGGTACAATAATCTTGTAACTGGAAGGAGCTGCAAGTTGTCTGTCAATTCAGCATAGTTAAGTACTCTGGAGAGAGTAGATCAGCATGACTGAGTTTGAATCTGACTCTGCCACTTACTCTGTGGTCTTGGAAATTACTTAGCTTCTCTATGCATCAGTTTCACTATCTGTAAAATGGGAGTAACAGGGTGTACGTCTCATAAGATTACTATGAAGATTAAATTGAGTTAATGCATGTAAAGCTCTTAAAGTTATGTTTAGCTCATAAACCTCAGTAAACATGCAGTAAGTGTTAGTTACTTAAACTAGGGTGCAACAAAAACAAATTTGTAACATGAGGAAATTATGTTAAAATGTTAAATAAAAAAAGGTAAGACAAAACTCTATTTGGAGTATTATGTTATAAAACACATTTTAAAAGAGTAAAAGGAAAATTATTAAGAAATATTATCAATGGCCACCTGAGTAGAGGACTATAGATATTTTGCTCATTTCTTCTACTTTCCGCAAAAAATAGTCTATTTCTTCTAAGTAGCTATTTACTTTATATTTGAAGGGAAATTAACCTGAATTTTACTTTATTTACTGGGGTTTTTTTTGAGACAGGTTCTTGCTGTTGCCCAGGCTGGAATGCAGCCTTGCCATCCTGGGCTCAAGCAATCCTCTCACCTCAGCCTCCTGAGTAGCTGGAACCACAGGTATACACCACTATATCCAAGTTATTAAAAAAAAAAAAATTTTTTTTTTTTTTTTTTTTGGTAGAGGCAAGCTTTCACTATGTTGGCCAAGCTGGTCTCCAACTCCTGCGCTCAACTGATCCTCCTGCCTCATATTCCCAAAGTGATGGGACCATAGGCATAAGCAATGCCACCTAGCCTAAATTTCAAACTATAAAGTCAGGGATGAGAAATCACTTCATGAGTAAAATGTACATTATTCAAGTGATACATACAGGAAAAGCCCAGACTTTACCACAATGCAACATATCCATATAAAAAATGCCACCTGTACCTCTTAAATTTATTTTTTTAAAAAGAAAAAATAATGTACAGTCAACCAAGCCAACTCTCTACACCTGTATCAGGCTAGACTCATGCACAAGGCATGATATAAGGAAATATGCTAGACCAACCTGTCCTTGGATAGAGCCCATCTCATTTCTAAAGGTACATAAAAATTCTGGCCTGTATTCTTAACATCTGCAAAAGTAAACATGAATATAACCACTGAGCATATTCTGAACTCCAGACTAGAAAACATTTATCCAAACTTCATGTTTAAAACTATATGAATGACATACCATCAAACCAGTCAATGGCTGCCTTAGCTGAAGGAGGGTCATCAAATGACACTGTTGCCTCCCCCTTTGGCTTCCCTGTGTCCTTGTCTGTATAAAGGTTTATCATTGGTTTTCCGGTCTTCTTATTTGTCTGAGAAAAATAAAAAAAAACTTGGTGGTAGCATTTAAAGATAAGTAATGATGTACCATTTAGATATATCAAGATTTATTTTTTCAATGAATTCACACATCCATACTATAAAATACTATGCACCTAATATCAAGTTACCTGTAGGTTTGAACAAGGATAACTCTATAAGCTACACTAAGTGAAAAATGATACAGTATACTGTTTTATCTATGTATAATTTCTTTTTTTAAAATTAAGACAGGGTTTCACTGTCATCCAGGTTGGAATGCAGTGGCACCATCATAAGCTCATTGTAGCCTAAAATTCCTGGACTCAAGTAATCCTCCCACCTCAGTCTCCCGAGTAGCTGGGATTACAAGCAAGTACCACCACGCCCAGCTTTTTTGTTGTTGTAGAGATGGGGTCTTGCTATATTGCGCCCAGGCTGGTCTCAAACCATTGGCCTCAAGTCATCCTCCCACCTCAGACTCTCAAAGTGCTGTGATTAAGTGCTGTGATTACAAGAATTGGCCACCACATCCAGTTTATAATTTCTTTAAATCCACAAAAATTAAATGTAGATAATTCATCAAGTAAATATATAACTTCTAAAACATTATACTGGGATTTGGCTGGGACAGGGGAATAAAACAGAGGAGAATTTTTACTTTTTCAAAGCTCTGTGAATTTAGGCCAGGTGTGGTGGCTCACGCCTGTAATCCCAGCACTTGATGGGAGGCTGAGGAGGGAGGATCACTTGAGCCCAGGAGCTCAAGGCTAGCCTGGGCAATAATAGGAAGACCCCATTTCTATGAAAATTTTTTAAAAATTAGCTGGGCATGAAGACATGCACTAGTGGTTCCAACTACTCAGGAAGCTGAAGTGGGAAGATTGCTTAAGCCAAGGAGATTGAGGCTGCAGTGATCCATGATCATTCAGTGGCACTCCAGCCTGGGTGCAATGGAGCAAGATCCTGTGTCTCAAGACGACGACGACGACAACAACAACAACAACAACAACAAAAACCTCTGAATTTTTTACATATTTTGTGTGTAATTAATTCCTTAACAAATTATAACTCCCAAAGAAAGAAAACAGTGAGTAATTCCACAACACCAAAACAAGTGCAGATGTAAACTGATTCCAAACAACTGCTACTATCTAAACACTACTAAAGCTGCTTTCTAGTTGAAGAGATGAAAAATATATGCATGAAGTTAATAGTGCACAAGACACTTTAGTGAACAATAAGCAATTATAAGATAACACGCTATCTCTAGTATAAATATAAAATAATTATTTCTCACAATTTTAGGAATTAAACAGAGCTAATTTTAGAGTCCTAGGATGGAAGCTAAAGCATAGGTAGACTGTGAAAAGGTAAACAGAAGGAAGGAATAAAATAATAAAATCTTCATATACTCAACAATTTAGCAAAGGTCTACAGACATAAATGAGCATACTACAAAATTTTAAGAGACAAGGCTTACTGAAATATATAGGCTTACAACATAATCTATTTATCACAGCCAGAATATTATGAGATTTTCAACATATTTTTACTCACCTTGATAATTCCTATTTGTTTAAAGAACTCTCCAACCTGATCTGTAGAGACACCTTCCCCAAGTCCTTGCACAAAGATTGTGTTGTTATCTGAATTATCAGATTCTGAATCTAAGAGAAAAAAAGTGGTGGTTAATTTTACATATTCCTTGCTTTTATGAAATTCTGTTCAGTAATCAAAAACAGTAATTTACTGTCCAATATTCAATTGTTTCTATGACCAACAGGAAAGGGCCAATATAATAATCATAAATAAACACACAAGGTATGCACAGTAATTATTTGGTAGATCAGTTCTTACAACTAAACTTCATGTAAGGTGGATCAAGTTCACACGATGTGAAATACCTATATACCAATTCAGGATGATCTTACAAATGTCACAATTCAGATTCGCACATAGGGTCAAAGGTCATCAAGAGATGGAATTAGTTTGAATTAGCATTCATTTCTCTGGAGAACTCTAATTCTTTATGGTTAACCAACATTTTTTAAGATTCTCTAGTAGAAAATTCTCCAAATCTGATACTTTTGAACTTCCAAGCAAGCCACCAAGCAGAACTGCTGTTTCCATTCATTGCAATAAGCTTTGTTTATACCAGAGGGCAGAGGCACCTTGTACACACACCTTACCTTACATGCATACTTTTGGATTAGTACAACAAAGTAAGAAAGATGTACAAAAACTCAGTCCATCAAGGGATAATTCAGAAATTGCCATCCGTATAGAATACTTTGGCATCTTAACAAAAACAAAAGTTCTGATTTCAAATTTTTGGCTCAAATAGATTTTTAACTTCTCAAATATAACTTTCAACAGGCTCTACAGGTAAAGCTGTAGCCTTGAATATCATTTAAATAAAAAGCCACATAAAATCAGTGACCTCTACCCAAAATAAGACAATTCTCTCATGTATGAATTCAGGTTTCTTGAATTCACTAAGTCAGCCCACTTAAGCAGACTACCAATCCAATGTAGGATTTTCTTTCTTAAACAATTTTGCTACTTCTAATTCCACAATGACATAAATTATTTCATTAAATTTTATTTGCAATAATTTTAAATAGTTAATACTAACTAGCAGTAAAAATTCAAGTATTTCTTCATGGAAGAAAAAACATAAGAAAGCACAAATAGCAATTTTCCCCAGCAAACTTTCCTATAAATCCCCTTGAATTTTTCTGACATTTCTTTAAAAATAAAGTACCCCAAATTAAATCTTTCTCCTGTACTAAGCCCTCCAAACACACACTTTTCCCTTCAAAAAATGGAAAACTAACATTTTCTTACTGGCAAAGTCACAAACCACCATAAACCTTACCAGCATCTGGTCTGGGTCCATAATCCCTGTGACCTAAGGAAAAAGAAAAGAAAAAAAAAAAAGCTGTTTAAGGCAATTCATTTGAAATCATTAACAAAAAAAAAAAAATTGTAATAAACCAAAGCATGAAAAGTCAACACTTCCAAAATCCTTGAAAGTCAACCATCACAGATTTACAAAGTAAATATATAAATTATGTTTTATTTAAAGTCTAGAAATCAAGATGAATGTCAACATTTCCTTTAACTTGTCCTACACAGCACCTGCCACTTTAGCATCATGCTAGTATCACTTTTGTTAAGCTCTGGTTGTGAAGGCTGATTGGACAACCCTAATAATTTTAAAACACCATGTCAGCTACCTTTATAAAAACAAACTGTCAAAATCCAGTGAAGGTCTCATTCATTGGTCACCACAGACTCTTTCATGCAAATTCACTGTGTAGAAACCCATTGGACTGTTTGAGATCAACTTTGGCTCTTTAATGTTTACTTTGATATATATGTGTGTATATATATACATATATATATATATATATATAATTTTTTTTAAAGCACACAACACACACCAGCCTCAACAGAATAAGAAAGGACTTTTGACTACATCTGCGGGATATTGGTGGCTTTTAGATTTATATAGCATTTCCACTGAAACATTTTGGGATACTCAGCACTTACCACCAAAATTTTTGAAGCCACCGCGGTCACCACCACTGCAGAGGAAAAATTGAAGAAATGATTTCTTCCTTAAGTCTCTAATGTGCTGAGCCCTGGGCTCAATCTACACTTAACTGTCACAAGTAGAGTGCTTAGGAAAACAGTAGCACCTCTAAGTTTTCAGTAAATTCCATTTCATAGAGTTCTAAATGTTGTTTCCATCCAAGTGTTTTCCCAAGGATCTATTTCCACAAGATGTCTTTCCAAGCTTATTACATAGCTAATATACTCTTATTTTTAAATCTTCCCAACCCCAAGCCAAAGGGATACTATTAAATCATAACTTAAAGCTGGAGGTACAGCATGAAGAATACTAAACTAGAGCAAGTGTTTTTTCCAAAAGAGTACTTTCTAAATATGAGAAAAAGAAAAAAGAATAGAATAATATAAAGCAAGGTTAAGATTTTGATGGTAGAATGGGAGAGGTTAAAAACTTGAGTATTAGGTTCTGCTGTGATACAAAATAGTGGATTTTATGAGATGAATTTTAAAAGTGAGATACAAATACACATAAAAGACTGAATGAAAGTAGTTTTAAAATTTCAAATCATTCAAAACCCTGATAGAAGACTAAAAAGAGCATCACTTAAAAATCACCATCCTTACCCACTATACTACAGATATCTCTTCACATCAGCGCTACGGAGTTTCATGCTGCCATATGCTGTGTACACATCAGTAGTGCACATTACATACACAAGGCAACATAGTCCAATTATGCAGTTGCCCACAGGACAACTTTTTTTTTTTTTTTTTTTTTTTTGCCACAGAGTCTCACTCTGTCACCCAGGCTGGAGTACAGTGGTGGGATTTCGGGTCACTGCAAACTCCACCTCCCAGGTTCAAGTGATTCTCCTGCCTCAGCCTCCCAAGTAGCCAGGATTACAGGTATGCGTTTCTACACCCAGCTAATTTGTGTTTTTAGTACAGATGAGGTTTCACCATGTTGGACAAGTTGGTCTCAAGCTCCTGGCCTCAAATAATCCACCCATCTCAGCCTCCCAAAGTGCTGGGATTATAGGTGTGAGCCGCCACACCAGGACATCAACTTTTATCTGGCAAATTACTACTGCCAGGTAAGTCAGTGGTCCTTGAGAGCATGGCTTTATGTAAGAAATCTAAGGTCTCTCTTACCAGAAAATCTTTAAATACCCATCCAATAAAAGCTTCTTTCTCTTAACTGAATTCTGTAATCCTTTAAGATTCATATGCTGATATGGCAATAAAAACACTCAAAGTTTTCAGATGGTAATATCAGATCTACTACTAATGATCTTATTCTACTATAATCCAAGACGTTAATCTAATATACTGAAGTCTCTCACTGCTTAGAAATCTCTACTTTACGGATATCTTTTGGGGGCCAGGGGAAGACCCTCAGCTTTAGTGATTACCCTACCCTATAGATGGCTTTTCTGAGCCATTGAGATGAAACACTCTATTAAAAACTTCTCCCTTCTTAATAAATCCATTCTATTATACTTTAAGGTAAAAATATTTCCACTTACAACTGTCTTAGGTACAGACACATGCATTTTAATTTATTGTTACTTTTTACGTGATTTCCAGGATGCCTTTTTAAGCAGGAGACTAAAGCTATTTCAAGACAATACAGGCCCTTCCTATACAGTTTGCCACTGAATTTCTAAGACCCCCTACTTCGCAACGGGTAGTACTGAAGCCTTCCCTATACTTCTAAATGACACGTATATTGATACTTAACTCTTTAAGAAAGGGAAGCCAACAGAGTTGGGATTAAACTGCTGAAAATATTATTAGAAACCAAGGTATCTCAGAGGTTTTGTAACTCTGAAAATCAAGGCAAGAAAAGAACTAGTGAAAATATTATGCCTACATTCTTATGCCAGTAGGCTGAAGTCCCAAGGATAAAGATGACTTTTAAAATAGGAAATTGGGGGTTGTTAGGTTCACAAATAAGTGCTAGACGAGATGCCTCTTACTGTGTTGTCATCTTAAGGGAATACCAAATCTGGCCACAATGGATGGAAAACATGCGATTTCATACATCAGTTAGCTCCTGTGATTTCCATTCTGGCCAGCAATATAACTTTGAACAACAGAAAAAGAACATACTCCTGGCAACAATAAAGGGATATAAAACAAATGACATTTGAATAGGTTTATGATTTCCTATTCTTCCATATAATACATTTTAATGTCATCTTTACTGAGCATTTCCTTTCAAAATAAAGCAGCTGCGCCAGGTGCAGTGGCTCACGCCTGTAATCCCAGCACTTTGGGAGGCCAAGGCAGGCGGATCAGGATGTCAGGAGTTCAAGACCAGCCTGGCCAACATAGTGAAACCCCGTCTCTGCTAAAAATACAAAAAAGTAGCCAGGCATGGTGGCGCACACCTGTAATCCCAGCTACTTGGGAGGCTGAGGCAGGAGAATCACTGGAACATGGGAGCTGGAGGTTGCAGTGAGCCGAGATCATGCCACTGCACTTCAGCTCGGATGACAGAGCGAGATTCCGTCTCAAAAAAAAAAAAAAAAAAGGCAGCTGAAGATTTCAACACATGGCCATAAATTTGGAATTAACATAGTACACTGGAAAAAGAACTAGTCTTCAAACCAAGAGACTCAGGATATTGTCTGAATTATCATTAATCAATCTTGAAGATTTGGACATGTCAGTGATTCTTCATAGGCTTCAATCTCCTTAACAAAATAAGAGTCTGTATCCTTGCTATCCAAAACATGATGGAATACAAACATAAACATAGCCTGGAAGCTTCTTAGAAAAGCCAAGATCTCAGGCCTCACCCTAGATCTACTGAATAAGAATCTGCATTTAATAAGACCCTCAAGTAATTCATATGCACATTTAAGTCTGAAATGTCTAGACATTTGGTTTAGGCATTTATCTAGATATCTACAATTTTATGCAAAGCTTTCTTTCAAGTTCAAACATTTCAATCATTTTCTCTATCCTTATTAGAAAACTATCCTTATTGAGGAAATTTATTAAATACAGAAAATAACCTTCAAGAAGTACTGTTAGATATTAACAGAAAATGTGCCTGAGGTTAACAATCTTTCTTTAAAATCTGCATTAATGTTACAAGTCCCTTTTCTACATACTAAGGCAAATTAAGACATGAAAGTACTTGAACATCTATGAGTCAAGATGTTGACACAACAAATTTGCTTTAATTCCCAGAAAAAGCAGAAAACATGTACACATAAAGTATTCCTGAAGTAGCAGAGATATTTAACAGAGACATAATATAAGTATACTCAACTTTATTGGCAGAATACCTCCTGCATAAGAAAACTAGCTGCTTTTTTAAGGTTTTTGAGATGCTGTCTTGCTATTTTGCTCAGTCTGGTCGCAAACTCCTGAGCACCAATGATCCTCCCACCTCAGCCTCCTAAGCAGCTGGGTCTACAGGTACATGCCACAGCCCCCAGCTAGGTACATATTATTTTTCTTTTCTTTTTTTTTTTTTTTGAGACAGAGTTTCCCTCTCTTTGCCCAGGCTGGAGTGCAATGGTGTAATCTTGGCTCACTGCAACCTCCGACTCCCAGGTTCAAGCAATTCTCTCACCTCAGCCTCCAGAGTAGCTGGGTTTACAGGTGCCCACCACCATGCCCAGCTAATTTTTGTATGTTCAGTAGAGATGGAGTTCACCATGTTGACCAGACTGGTCTCAAACTCCTGACCTCAGGTAATTCACCTGCCTCAGCCTCTCAAAGTGCTGGGATTACAGGTGAGAGCCACTGCACTTACCCAGTTGCATATTCTTGACCCAAATATAGAGACATTCTCCCAAGTTCAAAGCCACAATGAGCAGCCTACGTGAGGGCATATTCTGAGGGTTCTTTCACTGCTACAGCAGTACATATTTAGAAGAGACAACAGATTTCATTTCAGATGCTTCTCAAGAGAGAAAAAGTTCTCTGACAGAATCTCTACTCCCAATCTTTTAATAAAAAAAAAAATCTAAATATGTCTATTTATGAACTAAAACTGCCAAGAAGTGAAAGGACAATGCAGGAATCTCTGTTCTTAGAAAATTTTACTAACTAGAGAGAAAAGGGCTTAGCTAAAAATGGAGAAAGATTAGCTTAAAAACCCTGTGCTTGAGTTTTCAGACTACTAAATCCAGAATACAATTTTTTGAGTGTGAGGAAAAGACCAACATTAATTCCACATTTAAGTGACTCAATGGATTTAAATATTATTCTCAATAACAGCTGTATTTACATTTTATTTCCTCCTATGTCTTATATGCGTGGTAAAAAAGCTTTCTGGATTCAGCATTTATGAACATCTTAGGAAGCCAAGAATCTGTCATTCTAGAGCTGCACTGTCCAACAGTATCCACTACCTACACGTGGCCTGTTGAACACTGGAAATGCAGCTAGTCTAAATTAAGACATGCTCTAAATGCAAAATACAAAATGGATTTCTAAATTTTAGTATGAATAAAGGAATGTACACTACCTTTTTTTTTTTTTTTTTCAGACAGAGTCTCGCTGTCGCCAGGTTGGAGTGCAGTGGTGCAATCTCAGCTCACTGCAACTTCCGCCTCCTGGGTTCAACCAATTCTCTTGCCTCAGCCTCCGGAGTAGCTGGGAATACAGGCGCATACCACCATGCCCAGCTAATTTTTGTATTTTTTAGTAGAGACAGGGTTTCATAATGTTGGCCAGGATGGTCTCAATCTCTTGACCTCGTGATCTGCCTGCCTCGGCCTCCCAAAGTGCTGGGATTACAGACCCCATACCACTGCTCCCAGCCTTTTTTTTTTTCCCCCCCCACATTTGAAGCAGTATGGGACAGGGGAGGGAAGGAAATGGAATCTGACAGTCTCACTACTGCCCAGACTGGAGTGCAGTGGCTATTTACAGTCACAATCAGCTCACTGCAGCCTTGAGCTCCTGGACTCAAGCAATCCTCTTGCCTCAGCTTCCCAAGTAGCTGGGACTACAGGTGTATGTCACAGAGCCCAGCTAATTTTTTAATTTTTAAGAAATGAGGTCTTACTATGTTGCTTCACCTAGTCTCAAACTCTTGGCCTCAAGCAATCCTCTTGCCTCTGACTCAAAAGTAGCTAGGATTACAGGCACAGGCCATCATGACCAACAAAAAGAAACTTTTTATACTGATTGTATGATTAAATATTTTGGATATATTGGGTTAAGTAAAATATATTTTCTCATTTGTGTTTTCTTTTTAATGTGGCTTTAGAAAATTTACTATACGGGTCACATTTGTGACCTACATTATATTTCTACTGAACAATGCTATGCTAGACTGTCAACAGAATGTATGCACATTTTTTTATTTTTTAGACCCATGTGCCCCTATATACGTGCGTATTTCTACGGGAGCTAATTGAACACTCTTTTAAGAGGGAGAAGATCCTCAAAAATCTTGATAATTTTAGGCTTGACCCATTAAAGCCTAAAACAGCTACTAAATTTGATGGCATGCTAATAATGAAAAGTTATTATTTATTAAGTTCTGGCAATTTTACAAGGCATTAATCACAATGCTAAAACTAAAAATCACTGGGAGAATTTGTGTACCAAGCTTCTAGTCCACTAAGCTGTCCACGTCAATTTTAGATGACAGTAAGAAATTGTTTTTTTTTCCTTTGCTACAGTTGCTTTTTCAAAAAGATTAAGTTTCCTGTAGTCCCTATGATCTTCACTTACCTCTCTTTCACACTTGGAAAGCTGATGGCTTTTGATCTGAATTTTTCCTCTAGCCAGGCAATCACACAAACTGTAAGTCTAAGAATGTCCCATCGTTTACCTCACATCCTCATCCACAAATTATGCCCCTTCTTCTTTTTTTTTTTTTTTTGAGATGGAGTTTCACTTTTGTTGCTCACACTGCAATACAATGTGCGATACTGGCTCACGGCAACCTCCACCGCCCGGGTTCAAGTGATTCTCCTTCCTCAGCCTCCAGAGTGGCTGAGATTACAGGCACCTGCCACCACGCCTGGCTAAGTTTTTGTATTTTTAGTAGAGACAGTTTCACCATATTCATCAGGCTGGTCTCAAACTCCTGACCTGAGGTGATCCACCCACCTCGGCCTCCCAAAGTGCTGGGATTACAGGTGTGAGCCACCATACCCGGCCTATGCCCCATTCTTCTTTTAATATAAATCCAACTAATACCAGATATTCTTCAAACAGCCCCCAAAAGAATGGCTATTTTTAAGACGACTGAAAACATAAATGGAAGTGTTGATGAAGACTAATGAAAAATGTTTAAGTATTTTGGTACTTAAATGCAAAACTGTGTGGAAAAAAAAAATCTTAAAACAGGTCATTTACATTCAAATTCAAAACACTTTATCCCAATAAATAAGCTAAAAAGCACATTTTAAACAAGATGTTATGACACATAAAAATTTTATGAACTTCAGCTGGGTGCGGTGACTCATGCCTGTAATCCTAGCACTTAGGGAGGCCTAGGCAGACAGATCACAAGGTCAGGAGATTGAGACCATCCTAACACAGTGAA